ATCGATCACACAGAGAGCAACACTACTAGAACCTAAAGATAGCAGATCCAGAAACTTCAAATTCCACGACGGTTAAGACTAACCAAATCTGAAGCCTTCGGACCTGATCTATCCTTCAACGATAGGGACCAATGCCAAATAGCACTCGTCAACCGAAGACCACCGTTACCCCACTCCCACAATGCCTAAAAGAGCGGCCAAAGCCTCCCATAGAAGGAGGAGCCCTACTGGAGAAATGAACAAACCCTAAAGGCAGCTTCGACCCCAACGTCCAGCCATCTCTAGGCTCGAAAGGAAGCCTGTGACATCAAGGCGACTAGGCGCATTTTTCTTTTTCTTCTTCTCCTTTAGGGTTAAAGAAGAGTGATAAAAGAATAAATTAGCACTGCTAAAGTCAAGTCAAGTCAAATCATCCTAACATGACTCTACCATTCGCAATTGAAGATGACACCTTTTAATTCCAAAAGATCAACTATCTTTATTTTTTTTATTTTTTTTTTTACAATTAGCTAAAATTTGCAAATTATCATTTACTTCATCAACCAATTACTTTCATTGACGTGCCCGCCTCTAATTTATTGAACCATTATCTCATGAGGGCCTCGATTGGGAATTGCAGAGCAACAAGAGGCACGAAAAAAGATAAACTACTAGCAATAGCCAGCAATAGTAATAAATAAATAAATCTATACTTATATTAAAAGCTATACTATTTACTAAATGTAGCATGTAGAATAGTCAACCCTAATTAATGATTTACTATTTTTATCAAACATTTAATTAATGAATCTAATATTTTTGGTAAGCAAATCAAATTAACATTTAATTAGTTCCTAAAATATTGAGTATGCAATATTAATTTAGGAATATCCATGTAGTTCCTAAAATGTTGGTATGCAATAGGTAAAAGAAGATTTTTTCATTTTTAAATATAAAATATTGCAACACGTAAAACTATTCTAATTATTTTTTTATTTTTTTACATATAAAATCTAATCAATATTTAATGAATCCTACAAAATTAAATTTAGTTTAATTCTCTATACAATTGGTTGTAAGTTTTTCAGTTGTACATTTTTTATTTATTTATTTAACACTTTTAAATTAATGAAGCTCTCCGAAAATACCAAATCAAATAATTTATGAAAGTTTTTTTTTTACAATTTTAAATCTATATACCCAGCTTAAAAAACTCATCGCATAGATATAGACGAGTTTAAGAAAATTTCATAACCCAACTTATAAAATTCCATCTCCACGAGTCAAAAAAAATCACATCCCTCATCAATCGTAACAATTTTAAACGTAAATAAATAAAAGTCTAATTACTACTATAAATCCATTATCTATATAGATTTTTTAAAAATTTAAATTATACCTGTCTAATTACTAATATTTTAGATACTTTTAAATATTAGTTATATAATTTTTGTACACGTTTGCTCTCTCTCTATATATATACATATATGGAAGTTAAATGAAAAATTTTTAGACATATTTTCCTTACGGGTAGTTTACAAAAATTTAGGTAGCTTCAAACATTATTTGTGAATAATATAGAATATTTTAGATGCTTTTATGGATGTTATAAAATATTTTAAGTGTTTTTAGTATTTATATATCACACTTAAAAATAATATTTTGCAAAAAAAAAAAAACATTAAATACACATTGTAAATGTTAATAGAAACAGTCTTCAGTGTTCGTCTTTGATTTGTCAAAACAAATCTCATAAAATCGGTGAAGTCAAAATTTGTACGTAAAGTCTATCTATACTAAAAAAAGGTAGATTCAAAATTCTTTATCTAATTTTTTTTTTCTTATCTAATTCTTTCTTATTATCTAATTGTATAGAAATATGTTTTGGTTTTGTTCAATCCTCTAATTGTATTTGTAGCATATCCCATAAAATCGGTTTAACAAAAAAAATCTTATAACATCCGATAAGTAAAAAAAAAAAGTACGTAAAATCTCTACTAAAATAAAAAGGCTTTATTTATTATCTAATTGTATGGAAATCTGTTCTGATTTTATAGTACGTACTATAAATTGTGCACCTGTGTTCGGGAGCTACTTAACGGGCAAGCTCTGTGGAAATAACTCATTTAGTGCTTCTGTCATGTGCATACAGTATGTATTTGTATTACACATACTAGAAAATTGTGCACCTCGTGCATCGCACGGACTCTGTACTAATAAATGACCTTAAAATTGTGCACCCTATGCATCACCCATGTTCCCATTTTGGCCTATTACAGGTCACGTACTATATACATCCCGTATATTTTTTTTATTCATTTATATAATTATAAGATTTGATAAATAGCCTTAATTTTGTGCACCCCGTGCATCGCACGGGATCTGTACTAATAACCTTACAAGGGACAACATATTAATCCACCAATCAATCTCCAACAAGACCACATTTAATACGAATATTATACACAAAATAATAAGACCAAAATATCCCCCTCCCCTTGGGCCCCTAAAAACATTACTACAATTATTTATTAAATAAACAGTAATCTGATGAAAATTAGGACACAAATACCAACAAGGGTTGACTCAAATGGTAAGCAGATTGATGTCGCTTAAGTAAGGTCTCGGGTTCGAGTCTTTGTGGATGCAGAAAACCCTTGTTGATAGCCATTACTGTCAGGTGTGCGACACAGGTCGACGAACAGATTAGGCGGGGCATAACTTCGGATACTGTGCTGGCTACCCAAAAAAAATAAAAATTGGAACACAAATCAAGAATTAACAAGTCACATGTAAAGCAAAATGAAGGTGACAAAATCATGCCAGCCTCATCCATATTCACATGATGTATCCCTATGCATATGCGCCCATCCTCTGTCAATATATAGTACCTAACAAACTCTTCCAATGTGCCAAAACACATTTTCACACCAATTACAAGCATGTCATTCTCATTTTCTTCTTCTTCTTCTTCCCCTCCTCCATTGTTATCACTACTATCCCCTTTGCTGAGGTTATTCTTAGGGTTTTTGGTGCTATGCATAGCTTTTGGTGGTACAACTACTGTTCCAACTAAAATTGGGAAAGGTTACACCTTGATCTCCATTGAAAAATCCCCGAATGGTGGGCTTTTGGGCCTCCTCCAAGTGAAGGAGAAGAACAGCATTTATGGCCCTGACATTCCCCTCTTGCAGCTCTATGTGAAGTGAGTTTTTGTTTCTTGTGATGTTCGGAATTTTGTGACTGCTAATTGAGAATTTTGTGCATTTTTTCTCCTTTCCTATAGGCATGAAACAGATAACCGGCTAAGGGTACACATTACAGACGCAAGCAAACAGAGATGGGAAGTTCCGTACAATCTTCTTCCCAGAGAAAAACCCCCTTCTCCCAAACAAGCCCTTACCGGAGACAAATCTAGGAAGGAGGAGGACTCAAGCGGCAAGCCCGCCTCCTCGTCGGAGTACGCCGGGAAGGACCTCGTCTTCGCCTACAAATCTGACCCGTTCACCTTCTCTGTCCGGCGGAAATCGGACGGCCAGATCCTGTTCGACACCGAATCGGGCGGATCCGACCCGTACGGCGAAATGGTGTTCAAGGACCAGTATCTGGAGTTGTCCACCAGGCTGCCCAAGGACGCGTCGCTGTACGGGCTGGGCGAGAACTCGCAGCCGCAGGGGATAAAGATCCGGCCGAACGACCCGTACACGCTGTACACGATGGACGTGTCGGCCATCAATCTGAACACGGATCTGTACGGGTCGCACCCGGTGTACATGGACCTGAGGAACGTCGGCGGGAAGGCGTACGCGCACGCGGTGCTGCTGCTCAACAGCAACGGGATGGACGTGTTCTACAGGGGGAACTCGCTGACGTACAAGGTGATTGGGGGCGTTTTCGACCTTTTCTTCTTCTCGGGGCCGACGCCGCTCGCCGTTGTGGACCAGTACACGGAGCTCATTGGCCGGCCGGCCGCTATGCCGTACTGGGCTTTCGGTGAGTTTCCGAGAATACTCCTCCTCTGTTTTTTTTTTTTTTTTTTTTTTTTTT